TGTGTGCCACTTCACCATCGACCCGTGCATAAAAGCGCAAACAGTCCCTCAAGGAGGGACAGCCATGAGGCAATAAATGAGGAAATAATCGCCCGGGCGTTTAATCGGACCGGTGTTTAATACGCAAAATGGGGTCAAACCCCCGGCGGCTATTAGGTACCTGCCGGCTATTTACCACCGGGCGACTATTTGGAAATATACGGTAACTCTCATAACTCGCGGAGGAGCGAAGTGGCGAACAATTTGATTCAATAACACTCGTATTCACTGATGAGCATGTTATTGACCTATTTATGTGCAATACAATGAAAACAACCAGCCAGTGCACCTCGAGTAATGACTACAGAACCTCTCTCTCTTTTTTTCTCCCGATTCCAAGGTATGGCAGCTGCCATACCTCGCCATACCTAAATGACGCCTATGTTCAAAAGCCTTGGATCTGGTTTGGGTGCAACAATGTCACGTTACTGAAAGGTGGAAGAAGTATGTGGGCAAGTAATTGTTCTGTCCTGATTTCGTTTTTAAATACAACCACTTTCTCCCATTATAATCTGTCTCATGTAACACTGAAGGACTTGTTCAATGCTTTGCCAGCTGTGACAAGCAATGATGTTGACTACAGAACCTCAGCAGGGGCCCATGCCAGGTGGGGTGTTACTTCAGGGAGACTACCACTGAGAATGAAACACCTGTGGAATTACACTGTTCACATTACCATGTTATCGACAGGGAATGTGTGCTTGATCATTTTTGTCACATGCAAATCCATTTTTTGCCAGAGAGGTGCAAATGAAGATGTGTATACAATGCAATCTTTGTGCTCATTTTGAAGTGCAATTATGAATAGCTTTTAAAAAACATTTTTTTAATATGCAAACATAAATAGCAGTATAGGCTGCATCCCTTTCCAGAGATAAATTATGCATACCTGTAGCAAGAGACAAACAGCAACAACACTTCAAGTGCCTTTTCCTCTATAATCAAAGTAACATCTTTTTTGGCATGTGAACACTGTGATTATAGGAAGCTCTTAGTTTGTGGAATGTTTTTTTTTTTTTTTTTTTTTACATGCAATGGCATTTCAATTTCAATATTTTCTAGTGGGAGGACCAGCTTGAACTCCAGGCTCATTAGCAAACTGTCTGCTGAGTAAAAGCTCAATGTGATGACATACATACATTTATATATTTTTAATTTGACTGATGTTGCAGTTGACTTAAAGAGGCAACAGATAGCATCTTTTCCTAAATATATCATTATATCTTTGCAATAAGCTTCTGCCACTAGTGCCGAAATTTCACAGAAAACACGTCATGTATTGCGAAATTGGACGGTCAGCCAATCAGGGACTGGAGCGAGTCCTTATGAGGAGTTGGGCATGAGATAGTTGAGCCACGAGCACAATGGCAGACAGACAAAGTTTGGAAACAAGTGAAAAACGGCCTAGCAAAAGAAACCAAGCTCCTCTGTCTGAGGAGGCGAAGAACAGCAAAAAGGAAAGTGAAACAAGAGTAAACCTCAGTCAGGCGTTCAAGAGATGGAGGGAGCTCCGTGACCAAAGAGGCTTCAGAACCGATGTCCAGCTAGCTTTCTTTCTAATGGATCAGTAAGTAACACGGCTAAATGTTAGCTAGATGAGAGAGGACTGTACTGTACTGGCTGCTAGTTCATTCCTAGCTGGCCAGCGTCGCAAATTGCCGCAACCAGGGATCGGGTAGCGAGTGTTGGTCGGCTGACATCCTCGTTGCCATTCTACGGCAGCCCTCGGACAGTGATACCCCCCTCCCTTCCTTCTGTTCTCTTCTCATGGAGGCAGCTATAAATGCTAAAAAAAACCCAAATCCTATCTGTTGCCTTTTTAACTCACGAGCCCTCGGAATCGAAAATATGGTGTGTCACCAATGCAGTGTCAGTGCATTGGTGCTAATATTGGACAGGAAGTGATTTTGTTTGTTTTCTGGTAAGAGGATTATGCATTATGTAGTATGTATTTTTATGGTGGGGCCTCTGCAGTGATGCAGGCACTGCGCCGGACCGTCATGGTGAAGAGGGAGCTTTCGATTTACTGGTCCACCCACGTCCCAACCCTCACCTATGGTCATGAGCTTTGGGTGACTGAAAGAATGAGTTCACGGACACAAGGGGCCGAAATGAGTTTCCTTCGTGTGGTGGCTGGGCTCAACCTTAGAGATAGGGTGAGGAGCTCCACATCCAGAGGGAGCTCAGAGTAGAGCCGCTGCTCCTTCGTGTCGAAAGGGGTCAGTCGAGGTGGTTCAGGCATCTGATCAGGATGCCTCCTGGGCGCCTCCAGTTGGTGGTGTTCTGTGCACATTCCACTGGTAGGAGGCCCCGGGGCAGACCCAGAACATGCTGGAAAGATTACATATCTCATCTGGCCTGGGAACAACTTGAGGTCCCCCAAGAGGAGCTGGTAAGCATTGCTGGGGAGAGGGACATCTTGAGTACTTTGCTCAGCCTGCTGCCCCCGTGACCCAGCCCTGGATAAGCGGATGAAAATGGATGGATGGATGGATTATGCATGTGTTTAGCATGGTGCATAATCTAAAGTGCAACAAACTGCAGATCCATATTTAGAGCTTGTGTCCGGAGTGTTGCTGTTGTGCTAAGTCATTAAATAACGCTTTAAAGGGACTGTGGGGAGCTGATTTGATTGATCATATTGGTAAATCCCCCCGACTGTTTAATAATTTCTATATCACTATTCATTTATTTACTATTGCCTGCCATTTTGTTTTTGATTCGCCACACAGCTTGTTCCCATTAAGTACAAAATCACTTTAAGACCAGTGTTTTGTTCACCATTTGGTGTTGGACTGGTTGACTGCTGGAGGGACTTGCTTTGTCCATTTATTTTAATTCATTAATTCATTTTTTTTCAACCAATAATATACAACTATACTCTGTTTCTGCCAACCACTCAATGAGCAATTTCAGAACAACACCAGGTTTCCCCGAAGACGACTACTTACAATGTGACAGCTAATCATTTTAGCATGCTTACATTACACTGCTAATGAGGCCAGCCGTGGGAGATTTGTTCGAGTTTAACGAGGAGGTTGGTGGGCCGGCCAGTTGCTCTCCATCACATTTATCCCATAATTCTATTGTTACTGAACAGAATGGGTTTAATAATTAATGTGGTTTTAGTGGTGTTTCTGGATTCAGGGCTTTTCAGACATGGATGCTGTGTTTTTAAAAATCCTGTTATTTTAGGGTGTGGGGTTCGAACCCACAGTGGGGGGGCCCTGCTGTTTGGAGTTTGTATGTTGTCCCCATGTCGGCGTGGTTTTTCTGTGAGTACTCCAGCTTCCTTCCACAGTCCAAAGACATGCAGGTTAACTGGTGACTCTGAATTGCCCGTAGGTGTGAATGTCAATGGTTGTCTGTTTCTATGTGTCAGCCCTGTGATAGTCTGGCGACCTGTCCACAGTGTGTCCCGCCTCTAGCCCAATGTCAGCTGGGATAGGCTCCAGCCCCCTGCGACCCCCAACGGGATAAGCGGTTACGGAAACTGAATGAATGTTATTTTACAGTTATTAAAGATTTTGCCCAATAAGCAGAATGTAGAGATGACCCCAGCCAACAGTTGTATGTGGGGCCCATATTGGTCGTACATGGACGGAAAAATGGGCCTTATATGGGACTGTCCACATTGGTTCCACATTCCACACCCTATGCCCATTGCCCACATGGGTAGATTTACCCAACTGGACCCCATTTTGGGCTCATAACCACTTCGCACCCAAGCATTACCCAGGCCATTAAGGAACCCATGGGCAATCCCATATAGGACACATTTTTTTAGCCCCTTTACTACTCACATGGGCCCCTCATGCAAATGTTGGCTGGGACATGAATCAGTTAACTACAGTAGAGTACTGAGAATTACAAAGCCGGCAATGTGACTGCCTTGGGGTTGACAGTCTATTCATTATCTTGGTCCTTATTTTGTCAAATCGGGAACAAGATAAATGTGAGTAAACAATGTGGGTTGTAGATATTTTCTCATCAAAGCTGCCCAAAATGTAGCAGCCTGTCATGCCCACCCCTCTGCAAGTTAAGGTGGATGAAGTGCTCTTTGTCATTTGAAGTTTAATCAGCTGCTGATTTGTCCTGGCCTGATCCACAGAGATACAACTGACAAAGAAGAGCCTTGTGGTCGTGTTTAGAAAACGAAATACGCACGCTGGGACACACTTGCAACGTTTTGCCCATGACACACAAAGCACAAATGTTATCCAGACAAACAGCACATTTCCTCCAACTACAGACATCTTGTTGCCCAAGGCTGAAAAAACGGAACAGCTGTAGCTAACAGGTGTTGATAAACTCTGCACTGGGCTCAAAAATCTTCAGATACTCATTTTGAGTATCAGAAAGACAAATTATTGTTATCTTTATTTTTCATGTTTGTAACCTTGTGTCTATACCCCGAACGCATTAAGCCATTAGCCATGACTTACAGAAGTTTTAATGGCGAATATTTTCTTTTGAGACTAAAGCCCTTTTCCCACTGGACAAAAACTCACTAACATCTGCCTTTTGTATTTAATGGAAAAGGTCATAATCGGCAGTCCCTCCTGAGACAAATGACTCTGCAGTAGTCAGAGCTCCAATTAATTGGTTTCGATTGGCAGTCCGGGTAGATGTGCTAATTTAAGCCCCTTTGCCAGCCCGTTGTAATGACAGGCCGTAACAACATACTATCCGTCTCTGTCCAAGCAGTGCTCAAACATCATTCAAAATTTTGTCAGCACCAAATTTAAGGAAAGACTTAATAAGTAACAGATATTAAAGAAAGTAAATGGCCTCCACACTGCTTTCTTCTGCTTACTAACCTGTTTTCAGGCCTGTCTGTGATGTTTCATGTCACACACTAGGGAAAAAATGGCAATGGGAAAGCAGTCTATTGCCTTTTATATTTTGAAATACAATGCAAGCTAATTGCTCCCTTTCTTTTTTGTCTTTCTTTCTTTCAGACCCAGTGATCAGGAGGGAAGCCACATGTCTGATGTCAAGAAGGAAAGAGATGAACAGATAAGAGATTTAAAAAAAAATAACAAAGTAGCAGGGTATCAGTTAGCCAAACTGCGTCAATTTCAGCCTACATCCTTATCAAAATCATATCACTGTCATCACTGAATAAGTTTACAGGTCCAGAGTCCTACATTGAAAATCTAAATACTTTAATGTGAAGAAAAAAAATGTTGTATGACTGCATCTGACTGCACCACACGCATTGTTAACATCATGGTTGTAGTCATCTAGGCCCCCTGCACATCTTCATTACTTCACCCTCATTACCACCGTGGAGCGCATTAACGTGCACACAGCATAATGGATAACAGGTCACATCTCAGTGTTCTCCCTCTAAAGAGTTACATCTTCATATGTGTCTGACAGACTTCCCTTTATATTCATCATCTGAATGACACAGGTGCTCTATACTAGCATCATGCTCATTATTCCAATGCTTTGACTCTGACTTTATGCTGATTTTTGTAATAAATGGCGCACAGGTGCCATCTCGGATATGTACTGTCCATACGTGTGTGCATGTAATTGCACTCGCCACCATTCCCCAGTGTCATCATTATCATCATGATTGTTACGGTTCCCTGCAGGGATGGAAGTTGGTTGAAGAGCAAATAGACAGAGAACCTCAAACCTTTTGACCCATCTCAGAAGAATCCCCCACCCCCTCCCCTGCCCCTCAAAATACAAAAAAAACAAAAATAAGAAAAATAAAAAAACGAGAGCTTTGTCTTCCCCCCCCCCCCATCCCCCCCCGCCCCCTCTGTGCTCCCCTCACTTTTTCTTTGGGCTTTATCTTTTGTATGTGTACATAAAGCAATTTCAAATCTTATAGTTTTGTACATGTAATTTTTATGGTGTGTGGATTTTTCTAATAAAATAAAACAAAACTGGAAGACTTACTTCTAGACTGGCTGCACTGTTTCTGTCTTCCTTTTTATGTTTGTTTGTCATGTTCATCTTTAGCTGTGCTGCGGTGTTCTGCCAGAAAACAGATAATTAACCTTTCATGTTTTAAAAGCACTGTGGTGTAATTTTCAAAATGTAACCAAAGGTAACAATTTTCAGTCAAGGCGAAAGTAAACATTACACACAGTAATTTCAAATTTCATGTGTTTCTACAACATAGCTTGAATACCACTTAATTTCAGCTTTGAAATGTGTTAATTGTTGTTTGGATATGGATAAATGAGGAAATAACTGCAGGTTAATCAGCAACAATAAACATTTTAAGAATAGCACAGACAATTTAATGTGACTCTTGTATGCAGCCTACATTTTTATCTCAGAGCGATGCATATTAT